ATGATATTGTTGAGTCGAAATAATTGCCGAGGAAGAGCGCAATAAAATAACGAGAAGCGAAAAATTTCACTCGCTAATCGGGGGGGGGGGGGGAGGCATCCGTCGATACGCGGTCCGTCTCGACGAGGGGATACGCGAATTTATTAACCATCATCGTCGGCCGCTGTAAAACCAATTACGAGGGCCGAAATGGCGGCAAAATGGTTGTGTGCACACACACACACACACACACACAAAACGCAACGTCGAGAAACACCATTGTTGCGGTGTATCCAATTGATCTCGGTTGTTATTGATTACCAATATTGACATTAACATTCAACCGCGCCGCGAGCTTTTACAAGAATAGCGCTAAATTTAAAACATCCCACCCCCTCCCCCCATGTGACGACGCCGGTGATGGTACCGTCCGCGCGTAAGCGCCTCGTGACGGCAAACGTTACGGCCAGGCAATCATTGATAATTGACAAAGTCGCATCGGTAATGCATCAAAGAACGGGCCAAGTTGGCGAGAGAGTTCCTCCGATATATCGCCGGAGGAGCTCGCGAGTTCAGCGAATCCATAAGGGGGAGCTTACCGCTCATGTTGGAATTTAATGAGCACCTTTGCGTGTTCGCTATCCATATTTCAGTCTTTAGCAGTTGGACACAAAGGCGACGTACGAACCTCGCCTTGTATAGACCTCCACGTTCGCGGCCGCGCTGACGCTTTCAATTCATTCTTAACGCGCGTTGAACAAGTGCGCGCTCGTTCCCCCTACAAAACCCCCGTCGTTTATTCTCACCCCCCGAAAGCCTACTAGCTCCCGCCCGCGTGATCGCCCTCGCGAGAATCGAGCGAGAAATGACGCAGGAAGCTCTCTCTCTCTCTCTCTCTCTCTCTCTCTCTCTCTCGTCAACGTGTCTGTGACGAGAGACGAGATACGCGATCATTGGCACCCTGTCCCCCAGGTGACGACGACGGACGGGGAGCAACCGGACGACAGCTTCGACTTAATCGACGTGCCGGCCGAGATGTCGCCTCCCGCTACGGCCCCGTCGCAACCGTCCATCCACAGCGGTGGTCACCGGCACCCCGACGAGATCGCAGCCAGCCGTTCGCCGTCGCCGGTGTCCCCCAGCTCGCCGATCTCCGTGGCGGCATCGATGAGCCGGCAGACACCGCCGCTGGCGCCGTCTTCGCCCTCGTCGCCGCTCTGCGCCTTCGACGGCACCGAGGCAGGACCGTCGTCGTCGATGACTCGCCGCATGAGACTCGATTCCACGCAACCGGACAACGGTTGCCCCAAGACGACGACCGGCTCCTCCTCGGCATCGTCGGCAGCTCACGGCGCGAGTAACGGCAGCGCGGACGGCGCTGCCGTGCCGCCGCCCACGCCGATGATCGGCGCGCACCAGGAGACCCGCTTCACCTTCGGCAGCGGTAGAACGCCGCCTTTACCGGACCTACGAGCGGCGGATTTCTTCAGGTGAGTTCGCGCGCGATAAGTCACGTTTCTCTCGCGTGGCGCTTTCGAGCGCGAGGCTGCACCGCAGCGTGCAGTGATGCGACGACAGAGGCAAAGCGAGCGAGAAACGCGAGCTGAGGTGAAACTTGCCGCGCGCGGAGACGCGCGAGAGATGCGCGCGGATCGATGCGAGGGTAACGTGACAAAAGTCACGACGCGACGACCGCGACACGTCGTGACAGAAGGCCTGATGCTGACCTGATCTATCGGCCTCGGCCGATTGGGGCGAAAATGTCCGAAAGCTGTAGGGGGGGCGGCGGCGGGGGAGGGGGGGAGTTTCGAGCGGTAATGAGGAGTCCTCGCTTCGCGGGACTTGGCGGACGCGGGCCACTTGAATTCATTCAATCCCGACTTGGCATCCGTACTTGGCATCGTCGATTAACCGGAGATTAAAGATCGCTTCTTCTTCTCCGCTCGGAGCACAACGCGGGCTTTCTCAAGGAAATTTAGATACCTCTACCTGCTACGTGTTTCTCTGTCTCTCCCTTCAGCGTCGGATAAGCGCAAGTTTACGGTCGGAAAATGTACTTTGGGGCAATTTACGAAGCGAGCCCTTCGCTAGGTTTCCCGGCCCTAGATCCCGGGAAACGGAGTCGGGGGCTGGGTTTTCGGCTCGGCCATAAATACATCGCTCGCCGCCTCTCTCGTGTAATCACGGCGAGAGAGCGTAGACCTGCACTTGCTTTGCGTTTAGCACCCCCGTGAGAGGCTCCGTGGATGCGGGCCAGCCCGATTCGGCGGGCGACCCGCGTGCCTCGATTCGCAACCTGGTGGCCACGCAAGACAAGCAGAACACCCGAGTGGGATACCAAATAGATTACGCGAGCGTGCAGGTGAACGCGCTCGATAAAGGGTTGTCGGACCTCAAGCGGAGCCAGAAGAGGCCCAACATCAACGTCACCTCCAATCCGCTCGACATATCGCTCATAAGCTCTCAACCGTGCAACACCCAGGGCTGTAACGCTCAAGGTAGCGCGAGCGTCAAGTCGCGAGGACGATCAGCCGGTGAGTTCTCCTTCTCTCTCTCTCTCTCTCTCTCTCTCTCTCTCTCTCTCTCTCTCTCTCTCTCTCTCTCTCTCTCTCTCTCTCTCTCTCTCTCTCTCTCTCTCTCTCTCTCTCTGTCTCTCTGTCTCTCTGTCTCTCTGTCTCTCTGTCTTTCTCTTCTTCTCCCCCTTTACCTATCTATCTATCTACCTATCTCTCGTAACACCGCGGAGGAACGACGACATATGTATGCGTTTCCGGCTATCTTCGTCGCTATCGCCATTTTCAATGCGACGACGTGTCGTGGTACGCTGAAAAAATACTCCACGCGACAACGACGGTCGACATCGCGTCGATAACGAGACGCGATAAGATTCCAATTCTTCGCGCCTCGCCGTGTTCGACATTACTCCCTTCTTTTTTTCTCTTTTTTGTACTTTGGAAAAAGCGCGACTGTTTCTCATTCTCTCACTTTCTCTCTTTCTCTCTTTCTCTCTCTCTCTCTCTCTCTCTCTCTCTCTCTCTCTCTCTCTCTCTCTCTCTCTCTCTCTCTCTCTCTCTCTGTGTCACACTTTCATTCCGAATTCGTCCAATTCAGGATCATGATAATCCACCTGATGAACCGGGATCGCTCGAATGAAGATCGATCGCGCGCGGCTCAGCGAATTACGAATTGAAAGGCAAGCAACCGGCAACCTCGGTTAGTATCGATCGCGAGTCAATGATTTCTCGTCCGCCAGTTGTGTCACTTAGCCGCGACGGTATATCGCTAACCAGAGTTATTTAACCATGGCTATCGACGTGACCGTTTCTATAGTTCCGTCAGACGTTTAAGCAGTAACTTCCAGTTAATGGATCTGTCCTCTCTAAATCGTGAGGAGGCAGCGGAGTCGCGACAAGCTTGTATAGCCTCTCTCGCCTGTGCTATCTACTCCAACACACATACACATGAATACACAAGAAACAACTCTGAGGCTCTAGCTGAACCGATACGCACGCGGATACGACAGTATTCAGTGTCATTGCCGAAACGATTGCGGAAGAATCGCGACTGCTCGCTCGTGGCACTCGTCGAGCGATACACGGCACCGCGTCGTTTCGTTTATTCGACGGTCGGAATTATCAGCCGCTTGTCACCCTTGCGCCTTTCCGCGAATCTCACGACAAGTTTCAAGGACATTCCGCGCCCCTCGAACGGAGGGTCAAAGTTTGGCTAACCAGGGTTAGCGTTGACTGACGTTGGCGCGCGAATCGACCCCGTGTGCCAATGTGTACATGCGTGAGTGAGTGCGTGCGTGCGTGCGTGCGTGCGTGCATGCGAGGGAGATGAAACGAAAGGGGGCGAGAGGAATGGACGGTACCTCTAAGGAAATGAATTGATGTTCTTTTCTTTCAGAATCTCATCCACTCGTTTCAGCCATTCATTCATGGGTCAGGCTCTTTTTCCCGTTTTGCGCAATAGGTATAACAGCCCGGCGAAATAGACGATATAGTTATTCACGTATCCACGGAGCGGCCGTCGAAAGCGCGCGATACTCATAATGATGATGAAGAAGATGATGATGATGATGATGATGATGATGATGATGATGATGATGATGATGATGATGATGATGATGATGATGATGATGATGATGATGACGATGACGATGACGATGACGACGACGATGACGACGACGACGACGACGACGACGACGACGACGACGACGACGATGATGATGATGATGATGACGATGATGATAATGATGATGATAATGACGGCGACGGTGACGACGACGACGATGACGACGATGACAACGACGACGACGATGACTTGCGGTAATGACGAGAAACGCGTAAGAACGAACGAGTACCTTTCGGCGGCCGCTCTTTTTTTGGTGGTATCACGTGGATACATAATGTATAGGGTAACATGCGACTGTGCGAATGCGCTTGGGCTTCTTCTCTTTTGTTTCTCCATCTCTTGCTTTACGCTGCATCTCTGTCGTTTCACGTTGTCAATCACACGCTTGCCGTCTCTTTCGCGCGTATCCCAGACGTCGGCTACAAACGGCGGCGGCGACGGTGGCGACGAGGACAACACTTATCGACCTCATGGGGGAATGGGGGTGAAGGAAAGAAAAAACACAGAGATGGATATTACGTCCTTGACGAAGTCGCTCCCGCGAGACTGTCCTTATGAGACGCGCGCGATGTCGTCGACGCTCTTAACGTCGCCGCTCGTTGTGCCGCGGGTGAAATCGGCGTCGTAGCCGAGGTGGAACGTATGTCTATCATCGGTGACGTTTCGATCCCTCGAAAACCCGTACCCTAACGAACGCGCCCGATCGGCTTATCAGCGACGTGAGTTGCTTCATCGCCGTTCGTCTTATGCGAAACCCTTCGCATAAGTATTAATCGAAATTAACGAGACTCTAGACAACATCTCGTCTAAAGCCGGAAGGGAGACGAGTGAAGTCGATCAAGTCTTTGTTAAGCTTCCTCAATGTTAATGGACTCATGAGGGAAGAGAGATAAGAACGCGAGACGCATGTTACGTTGTCGATTCGTAACGTTGCACGCTCCATTTCTTTTCCCCTTTTTGTCTCGGGAATTACGCCTACATTTCTGGAATATTGTGTATTGTGTAGTCGAAACGACGGGTAAAAAATTAAGGATCGAATTATCGAGCGAAAATTCCGCTACTTGAAAGTGCCGCATCCTCTGGCAGGAAGCCATGATCGCGTCTCGACGCTTGGGATTTCCACCCTTTTCGTACTTTTGCTTTCTCCTTCTTATATGTGTACCGCGAAATGAAGATTTTATCGTTATAGATTTAGACAGATAGATAGATGGATGGATGGATGGATGGATGGATGGATGGATGGATGGATGGATGGATGGATGGATGGATGGATGGATGGATGGATAGATAGATAAATAGATAGACGTAGATAGAGACGTAGAGACTGATCTACGCGCGCGGTGTCGCCCGCTTCGGCTACGTCGCCGCCGATTCTGGTGCGACGCGAAAGAGAGAACGCGAACCTTGGGAATGCGCTTGCGACTGACTTCTGCTGTCGAATCACGCTTTATCGTCACCTGTCTGTTTCTACTTCACTGGTACACTCTACCGGTGTCCGCGGGATCGCCGTCCTCGCAGCCGCTTCGCCGCTGCTCGCGTGTTATTCCGTCCGCCGCGGACACGCAGCGCAGCGGCTGGAATCTCTAGTCTAATCGTAATAGCACGCGACCGAGAGCGAGAGCGAGAGCGAGAGACTCGAGTTCGCAGACTGCGGGACTCTGGTTTAAACGCGAGGGGAGGCTTGCGCGCGTCGTCTTCCCGACGATTCCCGCGACCCGCGGGGCACATCGGAAATTACTACCACGCCGGGAGCGATCTCGGGTGGAAAAAGTTTACGCGCCGTAACTAGCGCTCGCTCGTGAAAGGATCTCAGCCGTGTCGTGGTATTACCCGTTAGCGTGGATTCCGAGAATTCTATGCGTTTCGAGGAAGAAACAGGCTGGGAAAGTACGCGCGCGCGCGATAACGAAGACGCTAACGAACGTTCGTTCTGTTCGCCTGTGGATTTACGGGCCGATCATGCGATTACCGGCTGAACTTTTTCCTCGCGCCTCGAATTTTCATCAAACGTCACGCGAATCACCTCCGATCAAATGTATCTTCGTATTGCACGGTGCGAAGGCCTTGGTCGTCGTTCGCGCGACAATTTGCACGTTTCACCGAGATGCATCTCTCAAGCGGAAAATCCCGCGAAGCGATTCTGACTTTTCGCAAAGTCGAGATTCGGCAGGGCCATCGCGTGCACCGACGCGACGCAGGCCTGCGCGTGATGATCTACACGACAGTTTCCGGGTGTTAAACCGCCGTTTATTAACGAAGCCTAAGACGAGAAACGCTTCCACATTATTTCGGATTCACCTTTCCTTCGGGCTCCGCGCGTCACGGTGATTTATCCCCAGCTCCCCCTGCTCTCCGACGAAAGCGAAAGTATAATATTTTTCATACTCGCTCGACGCAATCGGATTAGCAAGTTTCGAAATTGAACCTCCTCTCTCGCCAATCAAGTCACAATTTAATATTCCGCCCGGGTAAAACGTTGTGAAATTAATCGAAGAGCAAGCTTCCCCCTCGCTTCTCATCCTCGATCCCCCATCGTCCCCCATCATCCTTGCTTACGGTCGACAAACTGTTCGTGCCTGAGCATTTTTTTCCCGCCCCGAGAAAAATCCGTCAAAGAGACACCGCGCGGATTGGCGAGGTGAGGTACGTCGATCGATCACGCGACACGCGTCTTACACGTCCGGGGAGGCAAACTAGCAGGGCGACGATAAGAGTTGAAAACTCGCCGGGAACTATCGCCCGCAGGAACGTCTAATCGGATCCGCGTGCGCGTCACGTTGCGGAAGTGGCGTGACGACAACGCGCCATCATCATCGCCGTGGAGAGCAGCTGGTGACGGTGGGCGAAGCGGCGGCGGTGGCGGTGGCGGCGGCGGCGGTCCCGCTCGGACTCTCTCGCGGATTACTATCGTAAATCCGGCACGCATCTCGCGCGCCTCCCGCGGTGAAGATCGCGAAGATCGCCGCGGAGGAAGCGCCGAGCAGAAGGCCGAGAGAGGGTTGTCCGGCGGCTACGGACGCGCGTTAGCGCCCGAGGGCTCGTAAGGGCTCATAGAGACGGTTCAGAGGAGGGGGTTCGGTGGGTGAGTGGGGGAGGGGGACGAGTCGGAAGTGTAGTTTCTACTTGTCTCGTCTCTCTTCCGCGACTCTTCCGCGACCGCAGAAAATTCGAGCGAGCCCGCTGAGAGTAACGGACGATGAATTTTTCATCCCCGAAAGGCGGCAGCGCCGGCGCCGGCGGCGGCAGCGGCAAACGATCCACCCAAGCGACCATCGTGGTGCAGCAGCCGTCCCTCTCGTTGGACGCGCCCGCGGCGACGATCCTGCTGCATCCGGACGCGGACGCGAGACGACGCGAGGAGAACATGCGGCAGCTGCTGGACGTCGCGAATACCCTCACCCTGCAGGAGATACACGACTTCGAGATGAGGTGCGTATCGACCGGCCCGATTCCTCCGACGATAACGATCGTAGATGTCGGTGTCTCCGAGGCAGGATTTCGAGATGTCGAGAGAGAGAGAGAGAGAGAGAGAGAGAGAGAGAGAGAGAGAGAGAGAGAGAGAAGGGCCCTCATGCGTGCGGCTGATGCGCCAAACTTTCGGCAAACATCACCCACCCCCTCGTGTGACCCAAGTAATTCGGCGGAGGAGATTACTTCGATCCGGAAATTCCGCCGCAAGTTTTTACGAGACGTGTATCCGGTTTTCGTCGAAAGCGGGAGTCAATACTCGACGAGACCGACGATGGCATTATGAACGGGAGAATTCTCGCGAGAGCGCGTCCCATTCCGAATATCTTCCGAGCTATGCGCTGCTTCTGGAATATATAATATACGCAAATGTACACAGGGTGTCGCTAGCACTGCACGAAGTGCTCCTCCCACCGCCCATCGTACGTGCTCTAATTCGCTAATTTTCCCTCAATGGCTCGATGATTATCGTGGTTGCTCGGAAAAATGGATCCTTTCGTTCAATTTGATGATCAATTCTGCTTGCACACGAGCGGACGTACGAATTGTGTTTAGACACCCTGTATACATGTACACGAATATATGTACGAACGGAATGTAGAATATGCGCGAACTTAAGAAGTCGGAATATTACCATCCGTCACTGAAGAAATATCGGCGCGAGCGTTGTTGTCCTCGATAACGTCAAAAAGTCCCGCGTTTCTCAGGTACAATCACTACGAGTTTTCTCTTTCTCTCTCTCTCTCTCTCTCTCTCTCTCTCTCTCTCTCCCTTTTTCTCTCGAAAATCCCACCTTCGACTTTAGATCCTTCCGCGAAACTCTCGACGTTTCTACGAGTATCTCCGACGGCGGAATTTTCGCGTTGAATTTTCCCGACTCGTCCCCGTCGCGATGTCGCGCCGTTGAATAACATCCGGACGATAACCACGCTGTCGCAGATACGGAAGCCCCCATCACAGCCGCTCGCAATCGGTGAAGGCCCCCGGGAGCCGCTCTTCCGGCCGGCCGAATTACCTGTGTCTTCCGCAACAGAGATCGCGAGTGGCGAGTATGCCCAACACCGGCGTGGAGGAAGAATATTACAGGCTGCGGCATTTCAGCATCACGGGGAAGGGTGTGGTGAACCGGGGTGACTCGCTCAAGAGCCGCAGGTCGCGCTCCAACAACAGCGTCGCGTCCAGCAACTCCAGGTGAGTCCGGCTCGAGTGAATTTCGCGGAGCAAGAGGACGATACGAAATCGATCGGAGCAATCTCGTTACGTAGCGCGAGTCTCGCGCGCTGCGAGCGCGCTACAGAGTTATCTCTGACATTTGCACCGCGCAAATTTACTCTCGCAAAATTAGCCTTAATTTAAACGAAGCATCGCAAATCGCTAGCATCTCAGGCCGCACCGAGAGAGAGAGAGGGGGAGAGAGAGAGAGAGAGAGGGGGAGAGAGAGAGAGAGAGAGAGAGAGGGAGAGAGAGAGAGAGAGAAGGGTTCGCTCGATAGCTCTCGAGTTTCCGAGTGTCAGCGTGTTCTCCAGCCAGACAACCTAGTTATCTCTAATTTTTCTTCATCGCATCGCGCGACTTCTTCCTCGACGCGCATTCGCTGCAAAATTGACGCGTCCTTCCGCCGAGCGGCGCGTTCGACAGCCGTAGCAGCCGCGGATCGGCGATCGTACCGGACGATCATGCCCGGCGCGACGCTCGCGCGATTCTTCCGCTCCGCGCCTCTGAAATACCTCCGCCGACTCCATCGTCGTCAGAGAAGAGAGTCAAGCGTCGTCAGCGTCGCAGTGACGAGAAGAGGGAGAGAGAGAGAGAGGGGGAGAGAGAGAGAGAGAGAGAGAGAGAGAGAGAGGGAGAGAGGGAGAGAGGGAGAGAGAAAGAGAGTGTGACACGAGTCGACCTGGAGCGTTGCTCTAGATCGAACGCGTGAGTTTACGTGTGGTGTTCAAGTGACGTAGACACGCGCGTTGGACCTTAGAGCGCGATCCTCGAACATCGTCGCGAGCACGCGACATCGCACGGTCGCAGACCTCTGCACCTAAAATTTGGATATAAACGTTCACATAACGTCAGCCCCGCAGCAATAATCTTGACTCGCGTTACCATTGATTTTTGACAGACCTAACATTATATCTCAACATCTTTACCCATTTCACATGGAAGTGCACATTATTTCCCTTCCCGAAGAAGAAGACGAAACGACAGCGCGAGACCAGAGAAAGCGTGAGATTATATTATATGCGCGCACGTTTTCGACGGTGTCTAAAGTTTCCTACACCGAGACATCCCACACTGCGTAAATGTCTGAAGGATATCCTGCTCGCGTTAGATCTCTTCAAGGTGGTGACGTATTTTAGACACTTGTGCCGTTTCGGCTGCTTTCGCAATGTGCACGCTGCGTGCACCTACTTTGTAAGCAGTCCCGTGCGATGCATTCAACGAGAGATGCATCCTCCGAAAGACTTTCACCGCCGCCGATCCATTCGGAAATCTATCAATTTAGCGCGAAAGAATAGCGGCAGATTCGCTCGGTGCGATAGCAGCGGCGGGAAAACGGGACGAGTTTGTCGCTGAATGCGCTCGTATACTCAATTTCGAAGTGAAGCTGCCGGCACATGCCGACCGTGTTCTGATTTACGGAGGCCTCACGGAGATACGACGCGTGTGACGTGTAACAAAACATATAATAGCGCATAATATCGTACAGTACGGAAGTAACGAGACGCTGGGTATTAGCGACGCGAGTAACTAGCACTGCCATTGTCGGCGCTGATCTTGTTATTCAGATCCCGCGCAAAACTGAAACGTGAAACGTTGAATATTCATGAGCGAAAGCGAGCAAGCCTATTAGCGCGATTCTTTCTGCCGCTCTCTCAGATTATCAAGCGCAATTATCAACTTTGACATATCGATATCGGCCCGGAGGGACGAGACACACACGAGCGGCGCCGCTTTTCCCGCCACTTGAGACACATGGCGCGAAAGGGGGTAGCCTGCTAAAGTTCACGGCGGGACTCACTCCGTGAGCGAAATTCGAGGTCAGACACGTCACCTCCGCGAAAACTTCAAGTGAGGCTTCGTTATAGATTTATGTTTAGCACTGGAGAAGATAAAAGATCCCGGCCAATTCAACTACTACGGCACGCCCACGTAATTCTGTTTCCTCGTTAATCGTCGACTTACCCTCGGGGCGGGATCCTGATTTGACTGGCTTTCCTCATTTTACTACGTTTCACGTTCGCGAGGGTGCCCACTACGGTGGCGTCTGATGAAATTTTCCAGCTGGGTGGAATCGTCTTACACGCTCGCGAAACACGTTCTTCAAGTTTGACGGGAATCTTATGAGACGCCTCTCGTGCTCGGGGAGCGGTGATGCTCGCTCAGGTTCATCGCTTATTTAGGCCTACATCGCGGAGGAGCTTCGTTGTTTTAAGCGTGTTATGAGCGGGATCTCGCATCTCGCGATGTTACTCGCGCGAGCAGCGCGCGAGAAACTTGTTAGAACTGAACAGCCTCGGGACGGACGGCTGAGAATGAAAGCAAGATGCCGGCGCTGCCGGGGGGGGGAGTGGGGGGAGGGGGCCAGAAGGAAATTATCCTGACGAAAAGATCGGAGAGACGCGCGGAGGATAAGGATCTCTCTCTCTCTCTCCCTCTCCCTCTCTCTCTCTCTCTCTCTCTCTCTCTCTCTCTCTCTCTCTTTCTTTCGTCGAGCATTCGCGCGTCCCGCGACGACGCGACTACTTTCTTTATCCGGATTCCGGATAAACTACTTGCGCCATGTAAAAGCTAAGTAGCTTCCACAGGCATTTACGGCTTCTACGTTGTACGCCGCTAAGTGTTTCTCTTTATGAGAAATATTGCTCTCCTCGGTCTGTCGAGCTGTCGAGCGAAAATCCTGCTTCCTACAGATACGGAGGAGCGCACACGTCGTGCGTTATCATACTCGCGCGGAATTCTTTCTCTCTTGTATCGCTCGATGTTGTTTTGCTCGAAAATACAAGGAGAATCTCGCTTCACTTTCTAATCACGCTTGTTAAGGAAAAAGCAGACCTGGCGTTTAGCGTGTTACATTGTGTTTTCACAGCTGCACGCGAGATCGCAATTTATTAGATTGCACGGCGTGCGGTGCAATGGAATCGCGTTTCCCGTCCTTTTTTTCCTCCGCGCACGTGTAATCTCGTCGTCGTAGCGGTTGCTCATTTCGAAGACAACGGAAAATTGCTCTCGTTCGAAATGTAACGCGGCGGATCCGACAGTCGCTGAACTGAACTGAGCAACGGGCAATTTCTCGGGGGAGAAGCTCGCAACCGCGAGTCACACGTATTATCGTTTCGAAAGCACGCGCCCCACCGCCAACTGATGGTATAGCTGCATCCCTAATCTCGAAACGCGCCTAGCCTTTCTTCTATTCGACGCAGCACGGAGCACCTGACCGCCTCGTATCCAGGATCGGCGCGGAACTCGGCGGCGGGCTCGTTGGCGAGCTCGAGGGAGAGCAGCGCGTCCCAAGGCCCGGCGCCTTACCGCGTCCTCATGCTGGGCGCCCCGGCCGTCGGCAAGAGCTCCTTGGTGTCTCAATTTATGACTTCCGAGTACCTGCACGCCTACGACACTTCGATCGGTGAGTCGTCGTTGCGCCGTTACGGCCGTAAAATCCACTCCACGGCCGTTCGTACCCACCACCACCACCCACTTCCTCAGCACCCCTTCGGTTCACCCCGTCGGTGAACACGACACGAGAGTATGTCAGCGATCGATTCGCGCGGCACGTGGCCCCTGCGAGAATCGCGCGGAGAGAGCCGGAGAGAGCGAGGCTCTCCGGCTGCGAAGCGGACGTTTCCGCGGTTCTCGCGGATTTTCCACTGCTCGCGGCCGCTGCGACGCGGCGGGAAAGCCCCTGGCGCGCGAGGTTCACGGCACTGCCGAAACAAATCGCGCTGGGGACACCCGACGTTGCTTCATTCGCGCCTTCATTCAACCCTTTCGCTGCGACTTTCCCGGGGCGGGGGGGGGAGGGGACGAGGGTGGCGCCGCTCTGAAAGGGGAGACATCGCCGCGAGAAGAAGCGGTATTTTTTTCCACGGAAACACTTGGTGTTTCGCGATGCTCTCCCCTTTACCCTTCCTCCCAGCCACCCCGCTGTTTGCTCGCGCACGCATCATGCAGTCGAGCGAAGATCGAGACTCGAGACGACCCTCGGCTAATTATCGAGACTGATTATGCGTAGGGGTCCTCTCTGTAAGAGCCCCCCCCCCCCCGCCTGGAGTGTCTACTTATATACACCGTCGTCGTTTTCGTTTATTCCAGACGACGAGTCCGGCGAGAAAACCGTCAGCGTGCTGTTGGCCGGCGAGGAATCGGAATTGACTTTTATCGATCACTCCTGCGCCGAGATGACGGTGAGTGAGTTAACACACAGTGCTCCTCTATCAGAATAGGTCATCTACCACGACCATACCACTCGAGACCAGACGTCGCCTGTCATCGCTGTCATTGCACTCGCGAAACAAAAGTCACGAAATGTCGCAAGCCTGCCACGCGAAATCGGCAGCTCCATCCGCGCGGCAACGATAACAGCGGCGCGGCTTCTTGCACGGCTCTCTTTCTTTTCTTCCCCCTCGCCCTCGTGATCGACGGGCGAAACTGCTAAAATGGATACAACCACACCGGCGGTGACGACAGCCAGCGCGCGATCGATTCTCCCGGTGTATGTAGACGCGCGTACGCGCGACGAGATAAAAATGCAGCCGCGCTTGTCGAGGGACCGAGGGACAAGAAGGGGGCGAGATAATGAGAACAAAAGCTAATACGATGAACGAAGTTCGCGACGGTCCTCGGAATTTTCATAGTCAATTAATCACCGACGCGCACACCGCTCATTTTCCGTGGCCCCGAACTAATCATCCTCACCGCATGCTCGATCTCCGCCGTCGCCGCCTCTGCCACGGTCCGCACGTTTTCACGCAAACGGTGCGGAGGCTACGACTCGAGTCTTCGACGGAGTGCTCTCTCTCTCTCTCTCTCTCTCTCGCTCTCTCTCTCTCTCTCTCTCTCTCTCTCACTCTCACTCTCTCACGACGGGGGGGGGGGGGTGGGCAATGTAATCGAGTTAACCACCCGCTGTCGGAGGGAAGGTGGAGCCAAGGGGACAGGGTCGAAAGGGATCGCCGGGGAAGCTCGGGGGGACGCGGTGTGTGCTTTTGTACCGCGGGAATTAAATTAAAATCCATTTTCCACGGTGGGCGAGCTGACGCGCTGGCGGCGCGGCGATACTCGCGCCCTGCGAATGTGCGACTTCGCCGCAATATACATACGTATCACACACACACACGCGCGCGCGCGCGCACGCACGCATCAACGTTCAAGGGGGTGGCGATGATGACTACAAGGCCGAGGCGGGGTTGTCGGGGGAGAGAACCCCGCCACGCTTCGCCAGACAATTTCAATCGAATTTGCCCTTTAATTAAAACGTACGTTCGCAGCCGTTCGCGGCGTGTGTGTACGGTAACGGTAACGGTAACGATTGCTCCGCAAACCGGAGGCGGTGGAGGTGACGGCGGCGGCGGCGGCGATCGAACACGGAGCGGATTTCTCGAATTCCACGGAATTCCGGCGACTGAAGGCCGTGCTCGTTCGTCCCGGCCCCAGCCCGTTATTCTTGGCATTACCGAAAGTCAAGGCTGTGATCGCTAATCACGCCACACCGCCGCGCGAGGCTTTAACGCCGGGCCGCGGCGATTCGATCCGATGCGATACGCGAGACGATGCGATCGTCCTGTCGATAGTCCTGGGATTGTATTAGCTTGGTCTATCAGGTTAATGCGTATTTACTATGCGACCTGGTCCGTCCGCGATCGATTTCCGCGCACGGATAGACTGGAAGAGTTACTACCGTCGTCGTCCTCGTCGTCATCGCCGTCGTCGTCGGCGGATTACGCTCGCGATTAATTTCAATCAGATTTCACTTCGTTAAGATCTCTCGAGTTCTAGAACGCGCGATTACTTCGCATCGGCGATCGAAACGATCTTGGGAAATCGCCAAGAACGTTCTTGCAAATTTCACCCCTACCCCTTCTTTACGCCAAGAGCAAGGAGCGAGGATCTACGCTGTCGGAGAGGATAACAGGCGGGGAGACGGGTGGCGATAACAGTGGCGAAAGTGGCCTGTTGCCACATTTAATCTCGTTTAAACATTCAAGTGTAAATTGCAACTTTGTTGTTCCGCGAAGTATGTCACACGAGAGTGAAGCTCTCCGAGCCGCGGTGCAGGGTGCATCTACGGAGATGGATCGCGCAAAAATGAATTCTCTCCCTCTCGAGGCAATATATACGCCGCGTATAAACTGTAATTCATCAGCGGTTAACAGCGGTTTACGCTTACGATATGTATTCATTATGCACAGCATTAAATATCCAATATTGTCCAAAGCCACTGTTAAACGCGCAATTACTTCGGCAATGTTCCAAAATAATATTGCATTATGCAGAGAATGTCACAGCGAGCGTCGCTGTGAATGTCGCGTATTCCTTAAATCGCCGTGATTTCATGGCGTTCGCAGAGCAATTAGTGCCGCAAATGCAAAGGAAGATTGAAAGAGATTGGGCTGCAAAATTGTTGAAATAACCCATAAGTGAAACAAACGATGCTGTTTGTTCGCGGCCGTGAATGAATATCCAAAGATACGGCTCTCGCCTCTCGTCGAGCAACGCTCGCGAATTAATCAGGCTGAGAGGCGAGGAAAAATTAAGAAGTTGCACGAAAGAAGCTCGCGCGCAATCAAATTTTCACTGCGGAAAACCGACTATAAATTCTCTGCGCAACTCTCTCCCAACTCCTCCTTCCCTCCCTTCTCTACTTCTCTCTCTCTCTCTCTCTCTCTCGCTCTCTCTCTCTCTCTCTCTCTCTCTCTCTCTCTCTCTCTCTCTCTCTCTCCCTCCTCCTCTGACTCTCGCTGAGGGAGAATTTAGGAGTGCCTTGTATCCGTTTCGCATTTGCGCGAATCCGCTGGCACAGTTCGCCAACAAAGTTGGGCGCAAATGGGCCGATGCTTGACCGTACGTCGTGGTTTTCAAGTCGAACGCGCTTCCGCCTATTTTATTTAATTATATCAGATCAACTTTAAAACGCAACGCGCCCGGAGGTGTTACTTTTCGCGTGCAAATTTCTCTCTCTGGTTCCGTTATTCAACGCACTCTTTTATCGCTCGCTCGCACGCACGCACGCACGCACGCACGCACACGCATACGCGTGGACGCAACGGACGAGAAAAGAGCGAGGTTGGCACGCAACCGTCGACTTTCCACGCGCACCGCTTTAATAGTTCTTTCGTTTAAAATTATTGGAAAATAATCGGGAAATCTAATTAGCAAATTGAAATTGAATCAAACTCTGCGTTTTGTGAGAGAAAGAGAAAGAGCAGCGCGCGGTTAAATCCAATTGCGGCTGCTCCTCGGGTCGGAAGTAGAAACGACAACTCTAAATGCAAGAGCGATTTTCGCAGGATAAGATTCGTTCGCGCCTTCGATCTCGTCTATGTCGAGCTGTTAATCAGTCGTGTTGGGCACGTCGATCAAAGTCGACGTTTCGACATCCCTCATGCCGGCACGGATCATATTTCTCAGCACACACACACACACACATCGCGATTTATATTCTCGATATATACACGCAATAAGTAGTTACCGCCTCAGGAACTTTGTTACTTCTCTTGTCGAGCCTGTCCCCGAGAAATATCCCGATTTAACCCAGTCACGATCGCGCACTTCGGCCGACATTACTTTCCACATTAGCGGCGCGGCTGCGTTCCCGCGCGAAAATTCCCATTTAGAGCACTGTTATCCCTGTCCTGTGGCCCGTCTGGCATCCAAATGCGGCGCGACAGTCCGATTTGTGGTCTGTGTGTAACCAACCAAGTAAGAGTTATCGCGTGACGAGCTAACCGCTCTTGGTAAGCTCAGAGAGAGAAATAGAGAGAGAGAGAGAGAGAGAGCGAGAGAGAGAGAGAGAGAGAGACAGAGAGACAGAGACAGAGACAGAGAGAATGTATATGTAAGTGAGAGGAAAAAAAGAGAGAGAGAGAGAGAGGGCGAGGCCGGGGGTAAGGAAGGATATGAGGGAGTTAACGAAGCGTTCTTCTCTCCTGCCCGCTCAACCAAGCGTGTCCGAGTCATTGACGAGCATCGAGCCATACCGCGCGTTGGACCGTTAAGCGGTCGATCCCTATATATTCGATATCACGAGGCGCGCCGCGCCTTTGATACGGTTCAAGGTAATTCTTTCGTATAATCGTTCGCAAAATCGCAGCACACCCGCTTCTCTCGCGTTCTCTCTCTCTCTCTCTCTCTCTCTCTCTCTCTCTCTCTCTCTCTCTCTCTCTCTCTCTCTCTCTCTCTCTCTCTCTGTCTCACTTTCTCTCTCCTTCTTTCTCAGCGCTCACTGCTATCTTAACCTTTAACGGCTGGCTGCGCTAACGTCGTTCAGCAGTAACCCCGACTCATCCCTTAGACTTAGACGACAGGCAAGCCGAGTCCGGACGCTTCTATTTTTGCTAATGAGAAAAAACGAGAAGGTAAAAGAAGTCCGGGAAAAAAAAGCCGGCTGTCCGGATTTTTACGTTCGACGCGCCTGGAATGCATCTCGACGTCGCGTCGTCGTGCGCGTATCTCGCGATTCCCGCGCAAATCGTCGCGGATATTATAATTATTGGATTTTACGCGTTATTCTTTCTCTTCGCAAGTACTTTGGAAAGCGGATATCGCTTTTTTTTTTTTTATAAAAAGAAGCGCGTAACGCGCGATCCGATGTGCTGCGCAGTATTCTGCGCGGGGTATTCTGCCGGTCGCGCGTCAAGATGAAAACCGGAGGAAAGACACTTACGGGGAATAGCTAAGCCTGGTTTAATCGGTCGGGATTACCTGTCCGTTTCCCGACTCGGTCCGCATATTATTCTCGGCTTTTTCGCGCAAAGCACCCGCGGAAATATAATTCACGCCAGCTACAATGATTTTAAGCCGTCTTCCTCCCCTCCTTTTCTTCCTCTCTTACTCTCTCTCTTTCTCTCTCTCTCTCTCTCTCTCTCTCTCTCGTTCTCTTTCCCTATCGTTCTTGAAGTATCGTTTCGGACGGGACTTCGTTACGGATGCCAATTATGGAGCGCGGCGAAAAATATCGCCTGGAATTACTATTTATTGCCTACGGCGAGCATTTCGAGAGTAGCTGCTGCAATTACGCTGGCGCTGCAATTATCCACGTTCCGGGAGAATTGTGCCGCGTCGCACGAATTGGACGATAAGCGGCACTACCGTGAAATTCGATTGTACTTTGAAAAGAAAAGCAATTCAAGAGGAGAAGTCGCTCTCTCTCTCTCTCTCTCTCTCTCTCTCTTCGAATCCCCGGGGTTTTTCCTACGAGCAACGATCGCGACAGCATCGACACTCGCGGGTGTCTAATTTAAACTACGCCGATTGCTATGCGCCGGTACAAATGCTCTCTCTCTCTCTCTCTCCCCTCTCAAACAGCGAAGAGCATACTACTTCGCTTGCAAAAAGCAAAAGAAAGGGAAGAAAATCCCATCATCGAGATTATGAGAGTCGATTTTTCGGCGCGATGGGCGTTCCGTTGACAATTGAATGACACGCGAAAATTAATATTTTCCTACGTAGTGCATAACAACGGTGCATGGTAGTAATCACAAAATTGCGGAAAGTATTAATATCGCTGGCGTGCATCGAACGCGGCGAAATCGACCTGTCAAGCTTTCGGATGTCGAGTTACCACCAAGCACCCACGCAATGAATAACGCAAGGTTATTCTTTTATTTTTTTCGTTCTAGCGATCTCGCATCGGAATAGCGTTTGTGTTTTATTTCATATACATGTACGCTACAACACCTGAATTTTATACGCTCTATAAAAAGAAAGCCCTCGCCCTCGACTCGCTTGCTCACCCCTATATATCAACGCGCTAACGGCTTCGGTATAAGAATGCCGAATTTGAGCGGAAACGCGCTGTAATTTTCTCAATTACAATCGCGACGCTTTCTGCTCAACAACTTTGTGTGTCTCCCGACGCAATGTTCCATTTTTATTCCGTACTTTGCGCGTAATCGTTCGCCATAACCGTAAACGCGATAAGCCGGCTGTATATGCTTCTTTTGTACGAGTTATACCAGCAAACGCGGCACAATAGCGCGCGAGCGCTCTTCTTAAGTTCGCTTTTATAACATACTTCCATAAGGAGAGAAGGAGAGAAAGAGAGAGAGAGAGAGAGAGAGAGAGAGAAGAGGAGTTTTTCTCTCTACGATATTCATGTAAAAGATGCGCTTCTGGCCGACGCGACGCATCTAGCCGAAGAAAAAAATAGCTCCGTCTTCGTAGAGTTGAAAAGAAATCAAGAATATTCTTTCATAAGCTACTTGTAGAGCGGAAAGATTAAGCGCGGGACACAATGGAATGGTAGCCTTCGTTGGATCCATAGGACAGGAGAGGATTGTGCGAGCGTGCGGATTAACTTGCTCCAAGTTTTCGTATTTTTACAACGCCACGTAACAGAAGCGCGATCGGACTGTTTTTGTGTCTGCCTTCTTTGTTCATAAAGAAAAATACGACGAGTCCACGCGAGCGCAATCTATCAGTCCACATCGCTCTCGCCCGACACCGGCGAGAAGGGTAACGGCGAAGAGATCGATAAAATTCGGGTTTCAACTAAATATAATACTCGTCGGTCTCTGGCGGAATAAAAATACGATGAAGAGATTCTTCATGTAAAACAAGTCCGCGCGATTACTTCGCCGAAAAAAAGAAGCAATTACGCGTAAAAATACATGTAATAGAAACGATCTCGATTAAAATTATTCGTACAATCTCCATAAATTAAACTCGCCAGTTTTCTCGTAATATCACGCCAAAAATTCCAATTCTACCGTCGCCCCGAGCCTGTTATTTAATATTTCACTTCGAGAGGCCAGGGATTTCTCTCTCTCTCTCTCTCTCTCTCTCTCTCTCTCTCTCTCTCCCTAGAAATTACCTAGATGATTATTGATACAAGAAACGGCTGCGTTTCGTGCGCAACAAGCAAATCATTTATGCCTCATGAATTGGAAATAGGGACTGCCAAACTCCATTGTGGCTCGTCAGTGTTAATGTGTCCGTCATGATTAATGCTTGCAGCCGGAAAATTGCATCGCGTCGTACGAGCCGCACGCGTATTGCGTCGTCTATTCCACGACCGATCGGGCATCGGTGCGCGCCGCCGAGGAGGTTCTCCAGTCCTTGTGGCGCAGCGACCACGTGTCCGCGAGGGCGGTCATTCTCGTGGGGAACAAGATCGACCTGGTTCGCAGCCGACTGGTGTCGACCGAAGGTAAAACCGTAACACACGCTTCTCTCCCTTTCCCGTCCGCGGTCCGAGTTCCGATATAAATGACGTCGCGTGACTCGAGAAGCGCCGGGGAGCGCTCACCCCCGCGACAATTTTAGGATCGTTTGCAGGATAGCGCTTCGGAAGCGCTCATCCGTCGCCGTCGGGCTGGCATTTAAGCGCGGAACGTGACGATATAGGACGATCGTAGATAACGCGAACGTGCGCGTAAACCAACGCACAGCATCTCGCTCGTCCTTCGTCTCACCCCCGCCCGGCGCGAGCCTTGACGGGGATCTCGGGGGCGACGGAGTAGGCGAAAGCTATTTTATTACCGCCGAGCGGGCGCGCCGTTTCTGTACTCTTAAACGTGACTAGATTAATTGCATCCCTCGCGTAATTGCGTTTTTCTGCCCCGCATCCGTCGCTCTCGCGTCTCGCGCTTCGTACCGCGCTGCGCGCGTTCGCGTAGTAATTTACATCCGCGCCAGGGCTTTTGTATTTGCCACCTCTCCTCCTCTTTGTCTCTATATAACTGTTTCAACGACATGGGGCCCAAATCGTTCGTCGGGGGGCGAGGGGGGGGGGGGACCGAAGCTTCTCTTCGTGACTTGCCGCGCTCTCAATTTACCTGATTAAAGTCAAACCGCGTCTGTTTTGGCGTCGTCGGTCGGATTTAATCGTGCGAGATTTTCCGCGTCAAGGCGCGCGCGCGCGCGCGCGATGTCACTTCGAGCTTTGTTCAACTCTCGGCACTCTAAATGTGCTCAGAAAGCTCGAAAGCAGAAAGGGAACGCCGTTGCGGTGCCTCGCGAATTTCCAATCTAAACCTAACCTAAGAACTAGCCAAAATCCAGTGAAGCAAGTAAAGAATCTGAAACCCAGGAAGCATTTTTCGGAGTTGACACGAAATTCTGAACGGCTACGACTCGTTCTGAGAGTCGCGCAAAGGGCTAATCGATGCCACCCCCGTCTCTCCGTTTGCAGAGGGCAAGTCGATGGCGACGTCTTACGACTGCAAATTCATCGAGACGTCCGTCGGCATCAATCACAACGTCGACGAGCTGCTGGTCGGTCTGCTCACGCAGATCCGCCTGAAGCTCGAGAACCCCGAAAGAACCAGGGACGTGTTCCGGAAGCGGTCGCGGAAGAACCGCAGCAAGTCGCCGCTCGGCTCGTGTTCGGAGAACAATTCGCCTAAGAAGTACCGCGGCAGCCGGACCAGCACCAGTCTGAAGGTACGCAATCTCCTCGACAAGGTGTGGGCGCGCGACAGCAAGTCCAAGAGTTGCGAGAACCTGCACGTTCTGTAAGGCGAACTGCCGCGCCGATTGACGACGGCTCGGTATCGATTGTCTCGGTGCGTACCCGGAGCGACCTGGCGACGACGCCCGCAGACGGTCGTCTCCAGACTTCCATTCAAACGTCTTACGCCGGAGTTCGGAGTCTTCGGGGATGAGTGACGGTGACTACTACTACTACTACTACTACTACTACTACTGCTGCTGCTGCTGCTGCTGCTGCTGCTGCTGCTGCTATTGCTGCTGCTACAGCGGCTACCGTCGCGTGTCGACGGGGCGACTGTCGCTGGAGAGAGAAGAAGGCAGGTATCGACCGCTTCGTGAGACAGGCGACTCCGCTTCGAATGGAGAGCTGGCGCACGTGCGTGTACCACTTTGTAACCAAGAGAGCTTTTCCGGCCGCGATTCTCGACGTCGCGTGTCTCGTCGGCGGACTTCCTGGACGGCCCGATATCTCGTCGCGACGAGGCGTACACGCGCGCGCGCGCGCGCTCCGAGTCGCCAATTATCGACGGTACTTTCCGCTGCCCGACGAGGAATTGAATTTGATTTCGCTGGTCGCGTGCGAGCGCGATTTCGCGTCGAGACGGTGAAAACGGTTTCCGAGTGAGACGCGCGTTTCGGCTCGCTCTCGTGCTCGTCGATCATTTCACGAGCCGTCACCGTACTTTTCTATTGTACTTGGCGCGGCTAACCGGCGGACCCGTCGAGTTGACGATTCCCCGCGACTCGATCGTGATTCTTCGAGCGAGGCGAAACAACACCTCTCATGGTTCGTATAAATGCCGGATGGACGGGGAGGTGATAAAAACGCCCTTAATTCGCCCGACGTTCGTTCGGCGAGGGTGCAATTTTTGCGATTACCGTAAAGCGTAAATATAGGCCACGAGCAGTCCGAGCGCGTATCCCCTCTCACGCGCGAAAAGGTCGTAAAGCGAAACGTTCGCGGGGTGAAAGGCGAAGTGCGCGGGGCAATCGGCTCGTGCAGATTGCCGCGAGCGAGCTCGTTATCGCGCTTAAGTGAGGCCATTATAGACGGAGAGCTAGGAGATCGAATCGATTTTTATCGTTTCGCTCGACGGGTCGCGATTGATCGTAAACAGTTACGTTCCCCGGGCTCGTGTAAACGCGAGCGACAACAAGCGCGCGAATTTCCGTTCCGGAAGCCGAGTGTATAACGAAGCCGAACGGCTAACCGCAGGCTGCGCGCGTTTACATCTGCCGCGGCGGGCGGCCAGGATTTCTCCTGGCATGCGTTTCAATTTTCCGAAACAAAATCTCTCCACGTAGAGCAACAAGGCAGCAATCGACACGGATATCCTTCCGCCGCACGCTCGGCTATCTCGACGGGGATATCCCGTGCAGAATTCCCGGATAGACGAGGCAAATACCGGCAGAAGTCGGCCGCCTGTTGCGGTCGTTCGTTCTAACAGTCGCTAAAACACACAGCGGCTCTCCTCGATCTTTTCGTATCTGACGATACGATATTCCGCGCGCGCGCGCGCGAGCAAGGTTTCGTGATCGCGCTGGTGAACGTTCCAGCGCGGAGAAGCTACGGGGGGCTACGACACTTATACGTCGGGTAAGTAAAGTTTTTCTTAAACGTCGAGGTAAATGTAAGAGGCGAGGGGGACATTTTTCGGCACTCACGCACGCACGCACGCGCGCGCCGATACACAAACACCAAGATTTTGATCTTACGGCGAAAGATGGGAACATTTCGGATCGAACGCACGGTGATCCGTATTATTAAGTCGCGCTCGTCGCTCTAAAGCCGCGAGATCATGCCGAATAATTAATACTCGTAAATTTTTCTTCTAACGACACGCCCGACATTTCAGGGCGTACGCCCTATGAGGACCACCGCGTTGCGGCGATACGGTCGGTTAGTGTTGGTAAAATGTCGCGATGCATACTGAAATTTTCAAATTTACTCGTCCGCCCCGTTCAAGACATAACTTCCATAATTATTCGAGGAGCTCTCCCCCTCTCTCTCTCTCTCTCTCTCTGTGTGTGTGTGTGTGTGTGTGTTATGTGTATGTGTATGTGTGTGCGTTCGTCAGGAAATAGAGAACCATCTATTCGGGGTATAATTCGAATGTGTTATATTCATCGCAAGAGCGAGAATACTCGCTGGAAATTCACGGCGAGCTTCCTTCCCAAAGTACCTCAAGGCGGGTCAGTTGTTCTAACAACGAACGCAAACCGGTGGGGCAGGAGGGCACCTATATATGAAGCTCCTCCTTCAATTTTTCTTTATTGATTCGGCAGCAGCCATTAAAGGAGAATTGAAGCTATCTCTGATCATCGGATTTAGGTCGGAGGCGTATCAGCATGTGTAAGATAGAATCGATGCGATCCCAGCGCGGAGAATTACAGCGCGGCCGGAAAGATTCCGCTTCTAATAAAGAGAATCCGCCATAAATCGTGGATCAAGGACGATGATTATCGAGGTATACGACCCGACGACGACTCAACAATTAACTCGAATCGCCGCTGAGCTGCACGCCAAACAGCAGAAAACCCTTTAATCTGTCGGCAGTCGAGGATGCGCGCCAAGTGCACGCGAGCGTGTCGGCCAAACAGTCCGAATGACAATCTCCTGTGTCGTATCACGTGTTTGTAAGCAATGAGAGCTTATGAGCTCACCTACGTGAGCGGGAAATTTATCAGGATCGGGATAAAAAAGTGTTTGAAATTTGCGATTGGAACCGAGAGACCGGAGGGAAATTAAAATTCGAATGGAAATTAAACATAACACAACTTATGTTTAATTTCCATTCGAATTTTAATTTCCCTCCGGTCTCTCAGTTCCAATCGCAAATTTCAAATACTTTTTTTTCATCCGATAAATTTCTCGCTCACGTAAGAATTGAAAAATCGGTACACGGTACATATCCGCGAGAGATATCTGATATCGATGTATTTTTCATAAAAATACGCGATGATTCCGCACACGCGCCGCAGCTGGGGATGATGCACGAACACGTTCAATTTTCCATGCGCGCTTTTAGCGATACGTTACGTGTCGTTTCACGGCACATGCATAATACGAGAGTGAGTCGCAAAACGCGAAGAGTGCGCGGCGACTTTCCTCGTCGGCAAGGTTAAACGACGCGGCGTATACGCGACGTGAAATATGTGTAGAAGGTCATGGAATAGAGAGAGAGAGAGAGAGAGAGAGAGAGAGACACACAAACAGAAAGATAAGTGGTTCGCACCATCGGCCACGCCGATTGCCAGAATTAAAGAGTCCCGATATCAGCGACGAAACATGAAGGCAGATATGACGCGACACCCCCGGGAAGAACAACCAAGAGAATCTAATCGAGTAGTCGTCACCCCACGAAAGGTCGCCCCGTGTGCGACAAGCAATTAATTTCTTAACGAGATCCCGAAAACTCCGACAGCCGACGTCCCCGTCGTCGCGTCGGAGAAAGCGAGAATCGAGCCGCGCGTCGAACTTCAACGTCCGCAAAAGGATCGGAAGTGGGTGCACGCTCGCTTGCGAAAACGAGTCATTTTCCAGCGGGAATGGAACACGCCTGTGCAGGCCAGGCCAGGTGAGCTGTGCGCGACCTCCATTAGAGACTCCGTGAGCGCGTGTGCGAGTGACAGTCCGCATGAGCGACGTGAAATCTCGGACCGCTGACGTAACGCACGTGTGCATGGGAAAGTGTGTATGTGCGAAGCTATCGCGGGATTGCGCGTCTTTTCCGGTCACGACGACAAGCCTGACGAGGTCGCGCTGTTAGCTTTGATTGCGAGTCGCATAATTCGGGGAGCGATTTGATTTTCTGTAATTAAACGCGCGCTTTGGCTTTGGGATCAGTGGAGGCGAATCATACCGCTGCCGCTGTGTTGCTTCTTCTTCTTCTTCCCTCCACTCTCTCTCTCTCTCTCTCTCTCTGTCCATTTATCGTCCTTTTAATTTGACCGCTAATATCTATGATTCGCGCAAAGTGCGCGACACAGCGCGGCGCGTCCCGCGTGAAACAGCGCGGTTATTAATTATTCTTTCGCGTCCTGCGCGAATACTCCGGCGTCGCGCCTCCGCCGACGTTGCCCACTTCAATTAGCTAAATTACTGCCGAAGGTGCGCGCTAAGGTGTGCCTATTCAACGAGCTTACACCGGCACGGCTCGCCGCGATACGTGCCCGCTGAAATTCTCGCAACTGCACGCATTCATTTGACGCTTCACTTTACAATTCTCTACGTACGTGCGCGGGACGTGCGTGCTTCGGCCTCCCGTTGCGCGATACGACGTTATTCTAAATCCGATCCCTCTTTACCGCCGTCTATGTTTCCCCTCCTCGGCCCTCTCTTGCCTTCAGCTTTGATTCCGTATACCCCACGTGCGCTATCATCGACCACAGCTTTAAGGGTTCTCTCTCTCTCTCTCTCTCTCTCTCGAATAATTCATAAAAAAACGTTCGCGGGATACTGCCACTCAGGGGGTGGCAACCGATCCCTCCTGGGTCGCTGCGTTCGCTCGATGTTGCGGATTTACCGTAAGACAAATCGCGCGGGGGGAGTCGCGCTAAGAAACACGGCGCGGCGTCCGAATGTCCCTTCTTTCCCGTAACGTAACTCCAATGATTTTGTTTCTCGTAAGTAAGTAAGTAAGTAAGTAAGTATTAAAAGCGCGACAACTGCGCGAAAGACTGCCCTTTCTCTCTTTAAAGACGTTCGAGTTAATTATATTCGTCGTTCTTCGCGTGATACACGAAGGTCCGCTTGAATCTTTAATGGCGACGTTCTTCCGCGGTAATTAAATCCCCAGTTACGCGGCCACGGCAAATTATTACATACTTTCGCGTCGTCGAGCGAACAACAAACCGCTAATTAACGCAAACGCAAGCATCTGGCCTGGGTAAGCTGTGCGACCTATCGGAAACGTTGGCTGATTCGCGGACGGGAGTTTGTGTTAAAACCGCGAGGAAAAGAGAGAGAAGGAAGGGGGGATGTGGGGGGAGCGGAGGATGAAAAAGAGGAAGAAGAGAGGGAGACAGAGGGAGGGGCGGAGGAAGAGCTTGAGCAGCGTTGCGCTCCCGCGCAAAGGAAAATTTTTCCCAACAACTCGAAGCGCCTCCTCGCTGTTTTCCATCACGGCGAAACGGCGACGCGGAATTCGTGGGCGCATTCTGTCCGGATTAAACTACGGCGAACGAAAATGATTATTGTCGGCCGATACACAACTCCGCTTCGCGGAGGCGAAGGCGAAGGCGAAGGCGAACCGGATGCTTGCGGCGAGCAGTTGCGGGAAAATTCGGCCACGCGGCGAACTCCTCGGCGAACGCTCGCGGGAATTTCCAGCTTCGCGGCGAGAGATGAAACTCGTCCCGGTCGTCGTCGCGCGCGGCGAAGAAGCGACGCGTATTTCGCGCGGCGCTCGCAATTCGTTAAATGCCGCTGTATCTCCGTTACACCGCCAAGAGATACGATTCAGCCGTTTTTCGTGCCGTGTATCGCGGCAGCACGGCATCGCGGGAAATTCCCGAGAGCCAAGGCTATTTTCGATAACGTCCTCCCGCGAATAAACGAGCGAATAACGTCGCTCTCCACGCTCCACGCGAGGAAGACGAATTATCGTGGCCGTGGCAAAAAAAGCTCCCTCCGACGTTGGCCGACGTTGGTTGCCGGCCGGAGAACGGCCAACTTTCGGACGAGACGTGTGATCGCTGTTACACGACCAGATATGTACATTCGAGACGACTACCGAAAGTCGGCCGATCGAGGCTCGATCGATCACCTCAAAGAGACAGAATATCACATTGTTCGCGTCGCCGTGCGCGCGCGCTCGCTCGCTCGCACACACGCACGGAGGAGACAACAACGGGGAATTCGGGGCCAATTTGTCGATCGTCCTTGTCCACAGCCACTGACATTCACACAGCGGACGGTCGTTTGTAATCTTTGACGCGAAACTCGCCGAGTACCATTTCCCGCTCGTGGCTGGCCGCGCTCTCGCGTGCCCAACTTCCGCGACTATTATGAACTCAACTCACGGAGCGCCGACCGTGTTTCCCCGTCGATGCGTGTCAAAAGAGACATTAGCGATTAGAAACACGCTAGCGGAAACGCGCGAGTCAACTACTAGTTCGCCGTAAACCGAGGAGAAAGAAGCGCCGCCTCGACCCACTTTTTTGCGCGTTTCGCAAGGCAAAGAAGCGCCCTTACGCCCTTATGCATCAGCTAATCAACGTAATCACGGAAGGACACAGCGGAAGGACTCCTTCGTCAAAGGAACGTCCTCGCCGACGGATGTTAAAAGGAAAACGAAAACGCGTCTCTGCGGTGCGACGACGCGCGATGACGCAGTCGGGTCTGACGTCGAGGGGTTCGCGAGAACTTCGGAGTTGGCGTTATACGATGTGACTTAACTCTTGGGAGTTAGCGAGAGACTACGAGACGCGGTCACGGCATCGCGCTGATAGCCCCGCCGCGGGTTTAAGGCGTTAATAATTTAATACGAGCGCAATCTCGCGTGACGCGCAGCGTTCATAATAGCGTGATGCGCACCGGCGACGCGCAATATCGCGCCGCGGATTCTCCTGCTCGCGAGGGCCTGCCTGCCTGCCTGCCTGCCTGCCTGCCTGCCTGTCTGCCTACCTGCCTGCCTGCCTGCCTGATGAGAGGAGGAATCGATGGTGCCGCGTGTGCTTTATTCGTCTGTTCCGTCGCGAGCACCGCCGGCGGAACAAGCGAATATTCGAGTGGCGCTTGCGATCGATGTCTGCGTTATCAATAGCGAGCGCGTGTCGAGAAGTCTCTGTTTCCCCTCCCCTACCCTTCCCCCCCCGTGCCACTAGCCACGCAGCGGACCAGCTTTACCGGCTCCCGATGTGGGAACCCTTAGCTCGTAGTCGTAATCGTAACGATATCGTAATTATATATCACGATCCCGACTAGAAATTTATCCCATGGTCCTGATCAGGTTAACCTCATTTGGACACCAGGTCCCAATAAAGTAATGCTATCGGGTCCTAGTAAGTCATGTAACGCAGCGTGGATATCAGGATCTTAGTAAGGATTCATAGTCAGGCCCTTATTGAGTTACCTTATGGAATCCTTATTACGTTTTTCTTTTTTTCAAATTATGGCTCCTGATTACTCGCCACGGCCATATTGAATGATGACATTAGAAATAAGAAATGACACGCTGAGAATTCCTTCGTGTCATTTTAACGTGTCAAATAAAAGGATACTTGCATGAAATAATATTTTAGATCGCTTGAGCATACTTGTAAAATGTTTCGGAAGAGAAACATAAAATGAATATCATAAGATCATAAAGTATCACAAGGTGACAAGACATAAAGTAGTGTTAAAGAGAAAAGTTGCATGTCGCGTTAATTTTACAATTTTTTTTTTATTGACTGCTAAAAAGAGGATAGTTTCTATAGCATTTTACAAATATATTCAAATGATCTGAAGTGTTTTTTCAATGCAAACATCTTTATATTTGGAAATGACACCCAAAAATTCTTTTGTTAAAACTTGATAATGCAAATCATATCAGGTACAATGAATAAGATCCCGACAAGGACCTGATTAATTGAACCATATTATATTATACACTGGTTGGTACATTAAGGTCCTAATGTGGACTCAATCATTATAATTTATAAAGGTCTTCCTTACTCACTTGTTAGGATATTATAAGGACTGACTTACTTAGGATTACCTTTCGTTCACTCTATTAGGTCCTTATCAATGTTAGGTGAACAAAATTTCGGATCAAAATTTCTAGTCGGGATCGCGCGGAGATCTCGGAGATTCATCCGCGACCGGCGAGCGCAACGTCGCGCCCGTCCCTCAAGCTCGTTATACCGATTGCTGACGGTGGCTGAATTTTGGACAATCGTGACCGTTTTCTTCATAGATCAGCCGATACGCGTATCCATATTTATTTTAAACTAAACTGTCCTTATTTCGAATTTTATATATTATTAATTAAAATTAAAAGCCGTAGAGAGAGAGAGAGAGAGAGAGGGTACGCGCTGGAACGTAATTGAGAGCGTACTGCTGACGGCGACAGTTTGAATAATTATTCACCGACATGGAACGTTCAGGTGTCAAATGATTATTTATTAGATCTGTGCAGTTGTTGTTTCGCTCACGTGTGTAATATTAATTTATTTATTTCCACGATGAGCTTGTTCGCTCACTGATTGAGACGATCGTCTTACTTCTCGCCCCTTTTTGCCCGACGACGAGATTATTCCCGTCGGACGCAGAGAGATGTGCAGTGCGACGTTAAGAAAGAAAAGAAAAGTTACTTGAGAACCGGGCCGGATGAAAATTTGAAAAAGTCGCCGCATAAACATTCATTTCAGACGCGAGAGACATCGCGTCGAAGATGTGACCCGGGTGTGTATAATATAAGAATACCTCGGATATTCTTTGCGGTTTTATACGCAGTGATAAAAGATACGTCTGTCTCTCGGATATTACGAAAGATACGAGAATACGAAAGACACGAGGGGCTGAGTTTTTTTCGTCCTACGTTCGCTCCTCGCTCTCGTCTCGTTAGCTCTCTTGCTCTTTCCCCCTTGAAAAGTGCAAACGCGACAATCTCACGCACACGACCGAGCGACGTTGCGCGTTGTGCGCGAAATCGCGTCCGATCGTACGCCGACCTTAATCCCTTAGTCAGTGACCTTTCCCTATGTGCAAGAAAACGAACAGTCGCCGCCCTTTATTTACCGTTACCAGCACGGTACGAAAATACAAAGACGCCAATGAGAGCTTACTCGGTAAATAAATATATTGTATTGTTTGCTCGACGATTTCAAAATTAAAGCGTCAGCAGAATACTAGCAACGCTAATTAACTTTTCGCACACAAACAAGCACACACACACACACACACACACACACACACACACACACACACACACACACGCAGCGATGTCCTCCAAACATAGAGAAAACCTAGCGAATCGCGGCTACACGACCTCGTATTCTCACGGAGGCTTATTTTGCTCGGGATTTTACGGTGGCGTAATAAAATCCGCAACGGTGGATCGTTTATTTCGTAGTCGAGCGCGCGTAGCTCTCGATTCGATTCTTCCGGTTTATAAGTCCAATTACGAATTTCTCGATCCTCCTAAAGCTTTTCTCGCTCCGCCCGCATAATGGTGAATCCTCTCTCTCTCTATATATATATATATATATGGCGACGGGATGAAAGATGAGAATCATCGAGACCGATGCGATCTCGACGAGTTCGCTCTTCCTATACGACAAGATGGAACACGCGAAATGGATCCCCCATCCGACCTTCGCTGTCTCGACGGTTTATTCTCGAAAATTGTAATTAGCGGCGGCCGCACGTCTCACCGTAAGTGCGTGTACGACACGACGGACTCTGAACTCAGCTCGTGAAATTATACCGATTTCGATCCTCGTGTCCTATTACTATTATTCCTATTACTATTATTCCTACTACTATTACTGCTGCTACCATTAGCGACGTAATATACGTGCTTACGTGTAGCGCATCAGCAATTTACGATTGACACACGATAGCTCGTTAACGAACTCCATTGTCGATTTAGGGCGTACAACGCCTTACCCTTTCCCTCTCATCTCTCTCTCTCTCTCTCTCTCGCTCTCTCTGGGCGAAGCAACGAGAGAGCAAGAGCAACATATCGCCTGAGACTATCGATTACCGTTGCCATCGAGATATCGTCGCGTATTAGGAGACGGTGAGTGAATCGGGTAGCGTGTACACCTTATTAATCCGAAGCCCCGCGCGCACGACGGCGAAGCACGCGATATTTATTTTTATAGTACGAATCGCAGCACACACGGCCGATACGGCCACGCGAGAGAATTCGCAATTCACGCGTCCTACGTTTCGTGTTACGTTATCTGATAACAATTCGAGGCTCGCGAATCGCGTCGCGTTTATACGCGGTGCGCGCAAGGCACGATTCGCGAATTCGCCGCGACGAAGAGAAACGAGAAACGGCGAGCTCGCGGTCCGAGGAAAAATCACGTGCCAGAGGATCGCTGTTTTCTCGATTGCCGACCTCGACGGCGGCGAGCGGGCTCTCGTTATTTGCCCTCAAAGTTTCACGAAGCGGAGCTGCGTGTACGTACGACTGCGTAAGCAGCCTTTTGTTCCTCGACCCGCGCGAGTCCTCCGCTTCTTGCTCGCTCTGCGCATACTATCCTCCTCGCTGCACGTAACGACTCGTTCGCGCGACCTCGCGTCGCAAGTGCAGCGACGTTCGCGCTATAACGAGTACTATAACGCACCGGAGAAAATTCACGAGCGCGACGAGCAACCCGTAACCCCGTAACCCCGGCTGTGCCCCGGCCGCGCGGTGCCTCTCTGCACAACATCCAATTTAAACTTCCACGTGGGTTGATCGCGGCGCAGGCACGTGGTAATTCGACACGTGACGAAATTTCCGTGTCGCGAAGTCAATCGGACAGTACGGCACGCGGGCGCACGCGCGCGAAAGAGAAGAGAAAAGACCAGGGCCGGGTCATTTGTCGGGCGAGTCGCGGACTCTGAGAAAGCGCGGATTTACGGGGGAGAGCACGGCGCGTTCATTTACACTGCCGGATCGGACGGACGGTGTCGCCGGGCGGTGTTTCCGAGCTCCGGTCTCGGCTATCGGGCTGATCTCCGATCGGAAATGCCCCGACAGCGTCGCGTCGTTGCAGCTGCGCCAGCTGTTGTCGCGTTATTAATCGTTGACGGCATTAAGCTCGGACACGCCGACGTTAGCTAAGCCTGGCTTAACATTTAACGCCATTATTTCGTCGAGAGAGGGAGGAAGAGAGAGCGAGAGCGAGAGCGAGAGAGAGAGAGAGAGAGAGAGAGAGTGAAGAGAGACGAGAGAGCGCGTTCTCTCGCCGAATTGCTGATACCTTGATAACTAAGCCGCTATTACTTGAAGGAGAGACACAAGTGACGGCGTGTGAAGGGATAATATTCGCGCGCGCGAATATGAATA